GGCGGCTGCTGCTGACCCCTCCTCTCCCTTGCTGACCCCGCTCCTCTTCTATCACCGGTGTAGCCAGTTTTCAGAATTAGGGTTCTGCTGATGGAAATACACAGGTGATTTCTGTTTTTCTGACTGGATCCTAACACTTCAGCTGTGGGTTTTCCTCTCCTACCCCAATAGCAATTTCTAAAGCCCAAATACGTGCATGAACAGGTACATGCTCCCAAGTCACACCAGGAGGGAGAGGTGGTTCCCAGGGTTCTGCAGACCTTTCAGACCTCGCTCGGTGGCTAAGACGTCCCACCGTGCCTGGGCAGCGTGGTGTGGCCACTTGCTATGTTTGTGGTCGTTCCCAAGTCCCTGAGCCTTCTAACTCTCAGTTTCCTCATCTATGACATGGAGAGGATAATGTTTCTATTCACATGGCTCTGACAGTTGAATAGAATATGGTGTTTAAAGTACTCTGGACAGTCTGCACGCACTGTAAGTGTTCTGCGAGGAAAGCCATTATTAATTACAAAGCCGCCTTTCTCCATAAATAAACCTTCGCTGTTGCTATTACTTGTGTCAGAAGGCAGACTTAAAGTGAGGACAAGCCTTTGCTGGTGTTTCATCCTCAGAGGGCACTAGACCAAGTCATTCATTCATAGCTTTGGGGGTACTAAGCCAAGCCGTTCATTCATAGCTTCGGGGGCACTAGACCAAGCCATTCATTTATAGCTTTGGGGGTACTAAGCCAAGCCATTCATTCATAGCTTTGGGGGTACTAAGCCAAGCCATGCATTCAGAGCTTCGTGGGTACAAAGCCAAGTCATGCATTCAGAGTTTTGGGGGCACTAGACCAAGCCATTCATTCATAGCTTCCGGGGCACTAACCCAAGTATTTTATTCATAGCTTTGGGGGTACTAAGCCAAGTCAGGCATTCATAGCTTCGGGTGTGTTAGCGGCTGGAAGGGGCTGTGGTAAACCATCCTGCGTGCGTTCACCCTGCCTTTGGCCCTGCTCCCCATCATCGAACCTATAGCTGATCTGGACTAAGGCACCCCAAGGTGAGAATGGAGCTGGTTGTAATAAATACTAACCGAGGGGCCCATCCTCCTGCTATTCATTAGATGAGTGGGGGGTGAGATGAAGAGAGCTGCATTGGAATCACCTACAGGACGCCTGGCCAGTCTGATCCTTTCTATACTCTCCATCTCTACGTCCTCTCCTGCCCTTTCTTTCCTGGAAGGTCAGACTCCTTCCCAGCGCCCTCATAGGACTTTCCTCTGATGGTTCAAACTGTGTTTGCAGGGGCACAATCTGCGCCCCGGTCCCGGAGCAGAAAGGGGACCTCCTCCAGCTCTCTTCCCAAAGACACCTGCCACGCAGTCCTGGGGGCGACGGGCTGCGCCTTTCTCTGGCTTCACACCAGTTTCATTAACACGCATGTTCACACTTCAGCTGAACATTAAAAGTGACATCGGCACAATGTGTTTCGTGTCTAGTTAATTATTAAGTCTCTGGGCTTAAATTATTCAAGCAAAATTGATTGGGTTCAACTTTATTCTTTCTCTTTGTGTTTTTGCTTTTTAAATATGTTCTCCTCTGTACTCGCTAAACAACATGGTAAAGGGTATTATGCAAATATAAATACTCCGGCCTGTGGGTGGTACCCAAGTGCTAACAGAATAGGCAGAGAAAGGACTGGCAGCTTGATTCTTTTATGAAGAAATATATTGTTAGCTCATATTCTGTACTTCCATTTATGGAGACTGAACATGTTTTGTTTTCTCTTTTAAATTCTTTTCTAAAGTTACAAGTTAGATGTGTAGGTAGCAAAAGAAATTGCTTCTTTCTTTGCTACCTTAACTCATGATCAAATGAAAGTGTTAAAATGTTTTGGCTTCACTGTAGAAATCATGTTATTGAAGAATATTTGTTGACTTGAGAAGATGTTTACAATATATTGCTAAGTGAAAACAGGAAGCTATAACACTGTCTTTTATTATGTATCATTTTGTTAAAATGCATAAAAAAAATAAAGAACACCAAAATATTAATGACTATCTGTGTTAGAATTTTTGCTTTTTTCCCTTTTACTTTTCCAATTAGCCCACTGATAAAGATGTCATGGCAGGAAACGACTGATCTTTTGTCTGAGCCTATCAATCATGTGTCAGGGGCACTTTGGAAATAGTGCTGTCCAACGTTCACACAAGATTCACACTATTCTGTGAATCACAGCAACCTGAATCATTTGTTAGCCTTCATTTTTAGACTTCCTTTCTAGACCTTCATTGCTCATTTCCCCTCCGCTTTCATATCCTTCGGATGTAAAATGATGCAATTGTGGACATTCACACAGAAAACATAACTGCCCCATGGGTGTTGTAAAGGACTAGAAAATAATTGTATTTTGCAGATAGACTGAAACATACTTTTATTGATTTCAGAGAGGAAGGAAGAGGGAGAGAGAGAAACATCAATGATGAGAAAGAATCATGGACTGGCTGCCTCCTGCACGGCCCCAGTTGGGGATCGTGCCCACAACCCTGTATTTTGCAGGAAGGTTTGAAAGGCGATGACAATGTTGAGGGTAAAAGGCAGAAACGCGGTGACCCCATTGGGTAGTATATTTAAGTGCGGGGCCTTCCAGGAGAACTGACGCCGCCTGGAACCACCTGGAACCACCTGGAAGGCCACAGCTGCAGTTTCCGCGGAGCCAGTGTGTGTGTGTGTGTGTGTGTGTGTGTGTGTGTGTGTGTGTGTGTGGTCTGGCTCCTGGAGGTGAGCCGAACCCGCAGCGGGACCCCTGCGGGGGGCACCCGGCCGGACCCGCGGGCGGCTGGCAGCCCCGGGGAGGAGCACGGCTCCGCCGGGGCCTGTCCTCCGCTCTCACACATGGGAGCCCGCGGTCCAGCCGGGCCGGTGTCCGCCCGGGCCTGACACAGAGAGGCTGTCCCACCCCGGCTGTGGCTGCGGCGAGCCCCGGGACCGAATGTGGGGCCGGGGCGGCACCCTCTGTGTAGACCGGTAGGGACCGAAGGCCGCGGGCCCTTAGCCTCCGAGGCCCGGGAGGAAGCCCGCTCCGCCGCCCGCACCAGAAGCTCGGGGACCCGGAGGGCGCGAGGCGGCGGCGCAGCTCCCAGCCCGCCCGGTCCTCCCGCGCCGGGTCCTCCCGCCGCCCGGTCCTCCCGAATCCAGATCCTCCCGCCGCCCGGCCCTCCCGCCGCCTGCCCGGCCCTCCCGCACCCCGGTCCTCCCGCCGCCCGATCCTCCCGCACCCCGGTCCTCCCGCCGCCCAGTCCTCCCGAATCCCGATCCTCCCGCCGCCCGGTCCTCCCGCCGCCCGCCGCCCAGTCCTCCCGAATCCCGATCCTCCCGCCGCCCGGTCCTCCCGCCGCCCGCCCGGTCCTCCCGGATCCAGGTCCTCCCGCCGCCCGGTCCTCCCGAATCCCGGCCCTCCCGCCGTCTGGTCCTCCCGAATCCCGGTCCTCCCGAATCCCGGCCCTCCCGCCGTCTGGTCCTCCCGAATCCCGGTCCTCCCGGATCCCGGCCCTCCCGCCGCCCGGCCCTCCCGCCGCCCGGTCCTCCCGGATCCTGGCCCTCCCGCCGCCCGGCCCTCCCGCCGCCCGCCTGGTCCTCCCGAATCCCGGCCCTCCCGCCGCCTGGTCCTCCCGAATCCCGGCCCTCCCAGCCCGGCCCTCCCGCACCCCCGCGTTCCGCCGTGCGGCCGCAGGCAGACGCGGCGCGGTCCGCGGGGCGGGGGCGGGGCGTGCGGGGCGCGGGGGGCGTGGCGCGCGCGGGAGGGGGGCGCGGCCGCCATATTGGATCGTGCGCGCGGCCGCGCCGGGGACGGGCGCCTCGCGGAGCCCAGGGCGCGGGCGCGAGGCGGCGGCGGGGGCGGGGGCGGCGGAGGAAGGGAGTGGCCGCGAGCCGGGCTGCCGCAGCCTCCGCTCTCCGCGCCGCCGCCGCTCCAGCCCCTCCCCCGGCGCCGCGCCGCTCCCTCCGCCGCCGCGGGAAGATGCCCTTCACCCGGGGGCGCGAGCCGGGGGGAGAAGCGGCCGCCGCCGCCCGCGCCGCCGCCTCAGCCGCCTCGGCCGCCGCCCGCGCCGCCGCCTCAGCCGCCTCGGCCGCCGCCCGCGCGCTCTGAAGCCCGAGCGGCACCCCCTCTGCGGGGCGCGGAGCCCCGGCGCGGCGCGGCCCAGCGGCGACCCCGCCATGGAGCGGGCGCGGGCGGCCGAGTAGCCGCCGCTCCGGCCCGGCGCCCAGGGCCGCCCGCAGCCCGCGTTCGCGCCCGCCCGCCCGCCCGCCAGGCCCCGGGGAGACGCCGGGAGAGAATGAAGTTTCCTCCGAATCCGCCGCGAACGGGACCCTCCGCGGAGCCTTGAGCCGGCGGAGCGCGGGCCGGAACGCCGCCCGGGGGACTCGGCGGCCGCGGGGCGCCCCCTCCTCCGCCCGCCCCGAGCGCGCGCCGCGGAGCCCGGCCCAGCGGCGGCGGCGCGGAGCTGCAGCGGGTTTGCGGTCTCCTTCCTCCCCCGCACCGTCCGGCGGCCTCCCTCCCCACCCCCCTCCGGGCCCCGCGCCTCCGGGAGCGGCCGCCGGTGCGCGTCGGGCTAATGAATGATGCAGCGGCGCCCGCGCCGGGATTGTGTTGCACGAGCTGAATTTTGAATGAAGGAGAAGAGCTGTTGATCCCCCCCGCCCTCCAAGAAGGGTGGACTCTCTGGCTCGTTGTACTCTTTAATTATTATTTTATTTAAGTATACGGCTTAATTGTATTCTTGAAAGATGGATCAGATATATATTTTATGGTAAACCCCCAACCCCCTCGGAATACATGCGTGCGCGCGGGACCCAAGACGCTCCAGGCCAGTGAGGGCGCCGCGCGTTGGATGTGGCATTCGGCACCGGCCCTGCGCGGCGGAGGTCGGAATAACAAGTGGTTTGCTTTTGGGACCGCACCTTTGGCAGTTCGGGTTCGGAGGGTCCGAGGGGACGCGAACCGGCGGGACCCGAGGCCACCATGTCCGGAGAGGTGCGCCTGCGGCAGCTGGAGCAGTTCATCCTGGACGGGCCGGCGCGCACCCACGGGCAGTGCTTCAGCGTGGAGACCCTGCTGGACATCCTCATCTGCCTCTACGACGAGTGCAATAACTCCCCGCTGAGGAGAGAGAAGAACATTCTGGAATACCTAGAATGGGGTAAGTGTGTATTTAAAACACACACACACACACACACACACACACACCACAACTCTTTAGCTTGTGGTTGTCATTTAATTGTTAACAGTTGCTGTGAGTAAACTCTTTGAGTATATAAACATACGTGTAATATGCGGTATAAAGTATGTCACATAGCATATGTAACATACATCACCAGGATGCATAATATGTAGCATATAAATCATATTTAAGGATAGATGCAATAAGAGAATAGGCACAGTTCATTCCAGAAGTGTTTCTAGTTTTTGGTGACTATCCTCCCAGGGGTACAGCCGGGCTGCTCAGTTGTTGCCACGGATTAATGTGGAATTGACGAGAAAGAACTCATGTTCTGAGGTCAGCAGTCAGAGCTTTTGAGTAACCCCGTGATGGGCAGACCTGGATGAGCCCCGGTGGTGTAACACATCCAAGGCAAAGGTATTTATTGGTGGAAACATTCCTTCCCAGACTTTGGAAATGGCTCTGGAAAATGGGAGGAGATATTAAAACAGCTGACGTCAACAGGAACTGGAAGGTGGTGATCAGGAGGTCCTGTTTCATCCCCATTTAGGACGGGCAGAGGAACGCCTAAACACGGGCTTTCCATAAATTGCCATGTTTGGAAGATCAGTGACACACATGTTTAGACATTGCGTGGTGGTGGTTGGGAGAGAATGTGGGGAGCAGCTCCTGCCCGGAAGTTGGATTGACTCTGCATGTAATTCATATCTCAAATGGTTCGTGTTTTGTCTGCGTTCTCCGGGGTGTAGATGTGATTTAAGAGACCCACTGTGTGCAGAAGGGCAGCGGCGAGGGCAGGCGCTCCCAGTGACCCCCAGGCTGTGTCCAGTGTCACGTGCAAGGCCATTCACACGTCCAGCTTTCGCGTGGCCCGCACCTGCACTGGGCTCTTCAGCCACAGGAGGACCGGTTACCTCTGTAGTGATTCTCGATTGTTGGAAAGTTTTGATATATAATATTATAGAATGTCTTTGTTCCCAAGCAAGCTTTATTTCCCTGAAGTAAAAGTCAACGAGTGATTATTTTGTTTTGTCCTTTAATTTGAAATTTATGAAAAGTTAGCTTGTCAGGTAAATCACTCATTTGAGATTGCTCACAGGAAGTGAATAGGCTGGTTTTTTAAAACAGAATACCAGGCTTTTACTGGGAATGGAAGAGTTCTAAACCGTCTTTCAGGTGACTTCTCTGTGAAGAGGGAGACAGTTTTGACTTTGGTACTGGTTTTGTATGTTCTGATACTGGTACTGCTTTTTTATGTGCAGAGTAAAATATTTTATTACATGTCGTTTTACATCCCATGTTTTAGAAATTTTAGAACTATTTTAGAGTATTTTTATTTGAGATTTAAAGGAAAGTTTTTGGTACTTTTAGAGTTTTAGTTCTTGAATTTTGGTTTAAGAACTCACCCTAGTTCTTTCTCATCTTCAGAATAGTGGAAGAACTCTTTTTATGTACTAATAGTATTTATAATTTTAAAATTATCACAAGAAGAGAAAACCATATGTTCAGTTGCGTTTTGTATTAAGAGTTTATGTAGTAGTTTTATGTTCTGAGATATTTTGCTGTACAGTATTATCAGAATAATTCATGTATGTTTTCCATTAAATATATTTCCTTGGGTTTTGTTTTATATATATATATTTTTTTTTTTTTAAAAACTCGTTATACATATTAATTTAAATGAAGCAAGCCAAAAGTCAAATAAGCATTTGGCCAAATACACTCTATTTTTATTAATATATTTTAAAAGTATATTAAACCAGGGACTTGTCACAATTTAAAACAAATTCAGTGTTAGTAATATGTTTCATGTTTTGTGGAAATCTGATACAACATAACAAAAATGTACAGTCTTTTAGGTAAACATCTCTTGTGTTTATCAGTGATGGAGAACCAGAGAATTTTTAAGGACTTTTTGTACCTTTGGGCCAGGTAGTGTCTGCTAGGTCTCAATCATTTTTAAATTGGGAGTATGAGTTCTTGAAAGAGGGAATTATCAACCTCAGAAGTTTGGGTAAGGAGTAAGAAAAGGAATGGAAGAGTGGAGAAGCTGTTGAGATGTGCCATCAGTATAGGACTTATTATCTTCACGTTATTTGAGAATTTAGGTTATTTGTCTCTTCAAGCAATTTAAGTATTAAAATAGGTCAGTTGTTCTCCATGTATGAATTGATTACTACATTTCGAGAAAATGTCTTTTTTTTTCCTTCTCCTTGCCTAACATTATATAAAAACAATTAGATTAAGAAAGTTTCTAGGTAGTGACTGGACCTCAGTTTAATTTTTTAAACTCTATTTGAGGGTCTATAATGGAAATTTACAGGGAATATTTGTTGGGGTTAAATTTGTCCGTTTAGATTTGCCTTTTTAGTTTGAGTTTTAAAAGATCCAATATTTGTAACAGGAGAGCAGTAATAGTTAAATTCTTTGTAATATATGCTGTATACTTGTGTTTGGCTATTTATGTTAATCAAAGTGTCATCTAGATATTCCTTATTTTTATGCGTATGACAGGCTACTTTTAAAAAAAAGTCAGCCAAGATTCTACCTTGCTTTATTTCCATCGTTTTCACTTTATTTCTAATTATGGCCCACGTATATTAGTACAGTTAACGTTTTATTCATGACAGTATCATGGCAATAAGAAAATGATGATTCAGAGTGAGATATGTATGTATTTGGCAGCATTCCGTGCTCTCCGTGCTAATGGCTGGAGGGAGAGAAGAGGTAGCGCTCCAGAAAGGAAGAGGGGATTAAGTCATAAGCAATAGAGCCAGGGGCTGAGACCTCCTTAAGGCCGGAGGTCACTTTCACAGTTAATAATATACATTTTCCGGTTATTCCATAAGACTTGAAAGACTATGTTTTGTCTCCTCTGTTTTTTAAATTGTTGAAATAATTATGATTTCTATGTCCATAAAATTAGAGTTTTGATGTCAGTAGTATAACTTTAGAATAAGTTACAGTAGAGTTGTAGAAGTAAAAATAATTCCCTACTAATGACTAAATTTATTCATTGAATTGGCTACCCTCTACTTTGAAATGGGAAATTGGAGTTTTAGGTAATTCTTTACTGATTTACTTAAAAAAATAGATGTTGGATGGTGTTACTCAATACAAAAGAAACATCCTCTCTATTTATATATGGATATCTGGTTTTTGAGACTGAATCTTGGACTTTGTAACATTTCATTTAAATTAACTTTAAATAACAGTAATTTTACAGCTTGTTCAGTGATACACAAACACACTAACCTGAACAGTGAAAAAACTTGTTACTAGAGTACATCAGCAGGTACTGTGGTTTTAACTTTTCCTTTCACTAGCATAGTCTTAAAGATTATTCACATTTTTTTCATGCGTGAGGTGATGATGACTTGATTAGAAGGATCTAAATCTTTTTGAGGGTATTTTGTCCTTCACTTGAGCTGTTCTTCATCATTAGCTTTTCCAGAGTAGCTTATTAATCATCATACCAAATTGTCAACATGTTCATTTAATACAGAGGATTAAAATTATTTTTATTTAAATCCTCAGTTAGAATCTTTATAAATGTCTCAGAAATATAGGTTGTGCACTTATTTCCTTTATACTAACTACCTAATAGTCTATTCCAGTGTTTCCCAAACTTTTGACATATGTGTACCCCTTCTATAATTTTCGTAACGCTGAGTACCCCTCGTACTCATGAGAACGTAGAATTAGGCGCAGCTAAGCACGGTGCAGTGCATATCCCCACCAAACTCCCGTGCAATGCGTACCCCCACCAAACTTTTCCCGTACCCCTGGGGGTATGCGTACCACACTTTGGGAAACACTGGTCTATTCTAAGAAGAATAGTGAATAAGTACAGTGATACATAGCACATGGAAGTACAGCTGGCACATGGAAGAAGCATGTTCTCTAAGTGGTGGCTATTATATTTCCATTTCTTCCTTTCCTCTCCTCTCCTCTCCTCTCCTCTCCTCTCCTCTCCTCTCCTCTCCTCTCCTCTCCTCTCCTCTCCTCTCCTCTCCTCTCCTCTCCTCTCCTCTCCTCTCCTCTCCTCTCCTCTCCTCTCCTCTCCTCTCCTCTCCTCTCCTCTCCTCTCCTCTCCTCTCCTCTCCTCTCCTCTCCTCTCCTCTCCTCTCCTCTCCTCTCCTCTCCTCTCCTCTCCTCTCTTCTCCCTTCCCCCCTTCCCCCCTTCCCCCCTTCCCCCCTTCCCCCCTTCCCCCCTTCCCCCCTTCCCCCCTTCCCTTTCCCCCTTCCCCCCTTCCCCCCTTCCCCCCTTCCCCCCTTCCCTCTCCTCTCCTCTCCTCTCCTCTCCTCTCCTCTCCTCTCCTCTCCTCTCCTCTCCTCTCCTCTCCTCTCCTCTCCTCTCCTCTCTTCTCCCTTCCCCCCTTCCCCCCTTCCCCCCTTCCCCCCTTCCCCCCTTCCCCCCTTCCTTCCTTCCTTCCTTCCTTCCTTCCTTCCTTCCTTCCTTCCTTCCTTCCTTCCTTCCTTCCTTCCTTCCTTCCTTCCTTCCTTCCTTCCTTGTTTTTAAGGATCTATTGCTTTATGAGTGAAAACAGGGATGCCAGAATTAGAATGTTAAGAATTTCATGTGGAATTACAAGGCATACATTAACATAGCAGTGTAAAAAACAAAAACAGATAGCATAATGTGTTGTAAATTTTATGAAATTTCCCAGAATCTCTAGGATTTGATTAATATTACATAGTAAGCCCAGGTTATTTTATGATATAATAACTGAACTTGGTATAGATTAATATTTTATTGTACTATTCTGTGGCAGTCTAAAAATTTCTTTCAAAACCTTTTCTCTGTTGGGACACTTACTAACAGTACATTGACTGTGTAGTTCATTGTTTTTCACTCTCTTGGTTTTGATTAGTTTGAAAGTCCAGCCAACATTGAAAACATTAAATAGACTAGAATAGAAAATACCCAGTACATCATGTGTACAAAGAGTAAGTATTTCTGTGCACAAACTCTGTGT